TAGATGGAAATACCGCAGGTTGACCATTATAAACACAAGTAAGAGGTTCGAAAATCAGGAAGAAATACGTGCTTATCGAAAAGGTTACAAGTTTTACAATTTTTATTGAGTTTCACGAAATCATTATCAATGTATGCATCGAAGTATGTACTTTTTGCTATTCAGTAGGGCTCTTGCCCTTCAATGTTACTGAACATGTATCCTCAATACATTCTTAATGGTTAATTTTTCGATGGTAGAGCCATTAAAGACGAGTCTCGTTATTTTTGATGTCAAGTATTGGCATTCGTTAATGCAACTGACACGTAATTTGAAAAAAAAAACACTACTTTATAAGAAATGCATTTATACAGTGTAGTTCAAAATCGTATTGTTACATATTTCCCTCAGTTTATTGAGCAGATAATTGACGTGCCTATGACGGCAAGACGAAAACATCCTGCAGCCATATATGTATATTTACATCCATTCGGAAAGCACCAATTCGTCCGCTGAATGGCCCTAACAGTGGACGTATATCCCGTTATATAAATAAGTAAAATTGGGAGTAAACTAATATATACCAGTGTCTAAGTGTCAACAATGATATCAGAAGCTAGTACTCATGATCTGTAGGAGCCTTACATCCGATCTATCCCCTGGCGTGTTTTCGTTAGAACCGGCAACTGGTCCCCGCTGAATCACTCAGGACATCGAAGCTGACTATTTACTGAAAAATTGCCCAGACTAGTGTTTATTTACATCGACGGTGTTCCCTTAAACACCGTCCGATAGCTATAAGTGTCTCAATGATTTCAAATCCCCCTTCAGATATACAAATTACGGTTCATGTGAGCTGTAAAATAAATCAGTTTATCTTGTCATATCTTTCATGGCCAATTCTACAATATTTCGTATGTGTTACGTGATTCACAATCATTTTTTATCGATCGATCGCTGCACGTTCCGTGCATTTAGATGCAGGTGTTTCATAACCAAATGTGGCGTTGATTTGGTAAAATAAAGTTCCTTATAGAGTGAATAATAATTATATTGAAATATCGTCTTACCGAAATCACTGCAATAGCTGTAACAACAGCATTCAGCGGTATTTTTTTTTATATACCAGTAAATGCGAGTTCCTCCCTTTCCTAAGCGAAATGTTGTATTTACCTTTTCTTGGGGCATATCCAGTATTCCCGGAAAAAAAAATCTGAGGACATATTTACCATTTTCCTCGAGGACATATCATACAAACCCTTTCTATTTCTTTTTACCCTTTTTTTGTTTGGGGAAATTCACGTATAATTCTTTTTCCTAGAAAATTTCACCACTTTCACTTGGAAATGCCCCGTATCTATCCTTTCTCTAGGAATGTCATGTATGTATCCTTTCTCTAGGAATGTCATGTATGTTACCTTTCTCTAGGAAATGTCATGTATGTATCCTTTCTCTAGGAATGTCATGTATGTTACCTTTCTCTAGGAAATGTCATGTATGTTACCTTTCTCTAGGAAATGTCATGTATGTTCCCTTTCTCTAGGAAATGTCATGAATGTATCCTTTCTCTAGGAATGTCATGTATGTTACCTTTCTCTAGGAAATGTCATGTATGTATCCTTTCTCTAGGAAATGTCATGTATCCTTTCTCTAGGAAATGTCATGTATGTATCCTTTCTCTAGGAAATGTCATGTATGTTCCCTTTCTCTAGGAAATGTCATGTATGTTCCCTTTCTCTAGGAAATGTCATGTATGTATCCTTTCTCTAGGAAATGTCATGTATGTATCCTTTCTCTAGGAAATGTCATGTATGTATCCTTTCTCTAGGAAATGTCATGTATGTTCCCTTTCTCTAGGAAATGTTATCTATATATCCTTTCTTTAGGAAATGTCATGTATGTTACCTTTCTCTAGGAAATGTCATGTATCTATCCTTTCTCTAGGAAATGTCATGTATCTATCCTTTCTCTAGGAAATGTCATGAATGTTTCCTTTCTCTAGGAAATGTCATGTATATATCCTTTCTCTAGGAAATGTCATGTATGTATCCTTTCTCTAGGAAATGTCATGAATGTTTCCTTTCTCTAGGAAATGCCATGTATATATCCTTTCTCTAGGAAATGTCATGTAAGTATCCTTTCTCTAGGAAATGTCATGTATGTATCATTTATCTAGGAAATGTCACGTATGTATCCTTTCTCTAGGAAATGTCATGTATGTATCCTTTCTCTAGGAAATATCCCATATCTACTAATAAGATACCAAAACTCTTTATACATACAAATGTCGTTACCTTCCTCGACCTATGATGTTTACCTGTCGTATTAGCACCACCATAGACCTATTGTACATGTACATCATTATTGAAAAACAAAACAAGTCACTTACTTCACGTTTTTTTGCTCATTAATTGTTGTCTTCCATGTAACCAGTGAATTCTAATTGACTCAATTAGCATCCAGGATTTCATGTCTGAATACTTGATTATATCTACAAATTTAGAATTTCTGAAAAGTTGAGCAACATATAGATATAGATCAGAACCGGCACTCTCGCACTGCTGACAATATGTTGAGTTGTGAAGGATCTGTGTCTCTCTCACCCTAACATCCCGAAACACAACTACGCAACTAGCCCCGAAATCAGGCAATGTGATAAGTTATAAGATAGTTCCAGGAAAAAGAGTGTAAATATTTCCATCACAATACCGAGTATGTTGTAGCCTGAATGCTAAAAATATAAAAGACCCGGTGATTAGGTTTAGATAAACTTTATGATAAATATATAGAAATAAACTGTACTTAGAAAATCATTCAATTTTTCCTCAAAATGTATTTTATGATGAAAATCTTCCACATCAATTTAAAACTTCATCAACTGTTTATTGATTCCTGCAGATAGCCAACTACGTATAACAATCCTAGAACTTTATCGTAACAGTAATTCTACTGATTAATGTACGAAACGGACAGAAAAATATCCGGATCTAACCATAAATCACTTATATTTATATAGACTACATGTATACTAAAACGGTCTGACGATCACAATTAACTCCTTTCGAGCGACAAAGGGATTAAAATTATACACATACGTAAATCATTTAATGAATTATTATAACTCAATAAATTTTAATGGATTAGTGGATTTAGAGTACCCACAAAAAGTAATGAAAATAAATTATCCACGATAACTAATAATTTTATAGTAATTTGTCAAAACAATGTTAAAATGTCACTAATATATTTTTGAGAAAATCATGTGTATGCATCTACGCACCCCATTCAATGTCTTACACAACGATGTCTTACACAACAATATCTTACACAACAATGTCTTACACAACAATGTCTTACACAACAATATCTTACACAACAATGTCTTACACAACAATGTCTTACACAACAATGTCTTACACAACAATATCTTACACAACAATAGCTTATAAAGCAGCGTCTTACACACCAATATCTTAGTTTTCTTTTTAATAGATATAAGTATGGCCTATCCTCTGAAGTGATTAATTTGATTATTTTAATATAACGTTATGATTAAATGCATGGCCCCAACACAGACATCCTCGAGATATCGATCGTTACCAAAAAGAGGTTTTCGTTTCGCTAAAGTACAAATGTATTTATAAGAGGGAACATACTTGATATTTCAGCGAAAAGGAAACTAGGAAGAGTAATTCATGAGGATCCTCAAGTATATTTATCATGCTCGATCCTTATCGGTATTTCACATTTATATAAAAAGGGAGAAATGGAGTAATTTTCAAATTCACAAATAATGTAGCCGAGTGAACGTTAAGTTCAAAATAGCATTAGCCTATTTTCATAAAAAGATTGGTTTCCTAGGCGATGTGTATAGCTACATTTACATTGACAGCGCCCTCTGCTATCTCACATTCTGATCTCTGTTACTGCCCTCAGTATTTCACTGTCAGTGATATAGTAACTTTCCTCCGTTTCACTCTGTCAATGATAAAGTTATTGCCCTTCGTTTCACTCTGTCAATGATAGAGTTATTTCCCTTCGTTTCACTCTGTCAATGATAGAGTTATTGCCCTTCGTTTCACACTGTCAGTTATTGAGTTACAGTTGTTCGATTCACTCTGTCAGTGATAGAGTTACTGCCCTTCGTTTCACACAGTCAATGATAGAATTACTGTTGTTCGTTTCACTCTGTCAATGATAGAGTTACTGCCCTTCGTTTCACTCTTTCATTGATAGAGTTACTGCCCTTCGTTTCACTCTGTCAGTGATAGAGTTACTGCCCTTCGTTTCACTCTGTCAATGATAGGGTTACAGTTGTTCGTTTCACTCTGTCAATGATAGAGTTACAGTTGTTCGTTTCACTCTGTCAATGATAGAGTTATTTCCCTTCGTTTCACTCTGTCAATGATAGAGTTACTGCCCTTCGTTTCACTCTGTCAATGATAGAGTTAATGCTGTTCGATTCACTCTGTCAATGATAGAGTTACTGCCCTTCGTTTCACTCTGTCAATCATCAGAGTTACTGCCCTTCGTTTCACTCTGCCAATGATAGACCGACGGGTATCGAGAATGACCACCACACGGTGCCTGTTGTGCGCTTAAGTGAGCAGAAGACTCGCATGTACCTCCCGGCGTCGCCGTATCTTCACTGATCAATCTTTCTACACATTACATAATATCCCATACGGTGCCATACAGATCGATTTATCGATTAACCTGGAAGCAGCTGGTTATGATTGGGTCAACTGTTTATCACTACATAATATATAACAAGGCTGAATTTCTCGATTTATTATTTGCTCACCATCACAGTGTAAACAGTGTTGACCACGCCACTCCTCTTGTTCTGTAGTGGAACTGTCAGTAGATTAACAGTGATTCTAACCAGCTGAATCATTTCTTTAAACGTACCGCTGATTTCTACTTGTTGCTAGTTCCGGGACAAAGCATGTCCGATTGTTCAGGAGATATGTTTTGCCTATCATGAAGTCTTGTTTCGTTTGGTGTTTATTTATATGGTTATGAAAAACCACGCGTTGGATCAACCAAGTCAAGTAAGTGCGAGAATATATTTCAATTAAGACTGTGTCGACACGAAGTAATAGAATGTATCTGTATAAGTAATATAATACAATGTATATCAATATAAATTATTACAGTGTTTATATCGTAATAAAGAATATAAATGTTTATTCCGTGCCGCTAAAAGTATGATGATATATATAAATATATATATATCGTAGTACAATGGATGTTTCTGTACAAAGATTAGCAATGTATGTGTTGCGTAGGTATGAATTATTACGATATACATTTCTGTAAGTACAGGTGTAGTATTACAATGCATGTGTTGGAATTAAGTATTACAATATATGTATCATATTTGTTTAAATCATTACAATACGTATATTTCGGTATTACCATTCACGTGTCGTTATGCAGTATTACAATGTATGTGTTGGAATTAAGTATTACAATGTATGTGTTGGAATTAAGTATTGCAATATATATATCATATTTGTTTAAATCATTACAATACGTATATTGCGGTGTTGCCATTCACGTGTCGTTATGCAGTATTACAATGTATGTGTTGTTACAAATTATTTCATCACGTGATCCACGTGCCTTTCACCGTATATACCAAATTAAAGTGTTTCAATTTATATCAGTGATCCTTTGAAGCTTGTCTCCTGATTCCAATCAAAAATAAATATTTCATTAATAAGGATACATAACCTAAGATAATTGACAAGCTTTCTTCAAGCATATTTATCATTGTTAAGATTGATTTTCAAAAGTGTAGATCCGTGATTTCGTGTTGAAATGGAAATAAAAAACTCACTGATAGTTTAAACCATTTCCGACTGAAATATGCTTCTACATACAAAAAAACAAAAACAAAATGGAAGATAGTTTTTGTCTTTTCTGCGAATATCCATTGCGTCAACAGTGCGTATCCTACTATAGTCAAAGAAAGGTAGATGACACAATATTTGTGTTTAACACCACCCCAACTTAACACTATAACCTCCTGTAATCCTTCCTTATCCCCTACCCTACCCACCCACCGACCCCACCCGGCCCTTCCCCATGCATCACAAACATGTGGGCTTTACTTTTGTTTTTGTTTGTGTATCATATATTTATTTTTCTTTGGTGTATTTGCACATTGTTGAATGATACAATATTACCAAAGGAGTGGACGCGATGACTAATTATTGTGAATATATTAGTGTAATGTTGTGTAGAGACACTGCATGCTAAACGATGGCAGTTGTTCAAAACAATTATTATAACAGATCTGTCATTAGCATTGCTCACCCACACATAAACAATGTGTTGCACGTGATTTATAGTTATTTGTCAGCCTCTAGGTCTGATACCATCAGGAGCGTACAGTAACCTCATATACAACACTTAAATACATACTGACGCATCGTATATAGCATTTATGTCTGAAATTCTTTGATCTATCTTAAGATACATTAAAGTGCCTTAGTAACTCAGATTGTGATTCTTCATTAACGACTTAGGCAAATGAGAGGGACCATGTCAACAATGTGCTGTTCATAAAATTTTTGAATGAGTATGATATAAAATATCATTTCTCATAAGTATAATTTCATACTACTCAAATTTAATACAATTTTTATACAAAATTATGAATTTGGTTGAGAATTCTTAATAATGAAATTACGGTGTAGAATTTATATAAAAGTTTTTGGTTAAGCAAGTATACATTGATATAGTTGCTCTCCTTGAACTTGGTTGGTTTCCTATGAGTGGTTTAGTGTTGTTAGATTTGGCATCATAACCTTTGTTACATTTGATATGTTTGGCTGTGTTGTTACAGGTGACACTCTTGACCTTACTTAAGTGACATCCTTAATCTTTCAATAGCTTAATGCAATGCCTTGACCTTGTAAAAGTTGGCATCCTTGGCATTGTTACATATAGTGTGATTGACCTTGTCGTTACAGGTGACACTATTGACCTTGATAAAGTGACACCTTTAATCTTACAATAGCTATATGTAATGCCTTGACCTTGTAAAAGTTGGCGTCCTTGACATTGTTACATATTGTGTCGTTAATCCCTATACTGTTGACATCCTTGACCGTGCACAGGTTACATCTATGTCCTAGTTACAGGTGTCAATCATGACTCAGCTACTATTGACATCCTTGACCTTGCTGATCTTGGGTTTGTTTCAATTAAAATCCTTGACCTTGCTGCATCCAACTTCACCTTGTTACCGTTGATACTTTTTACCTTATTACCAACAACTTCCTTGCAGATTTGTTCGCTGTTCTGTTTGTCCCAGACAGAGACCGTTTGTTCCGTTTGTCTCAGACAGAGACCGTTTGTCTCAGACAGAGTCTGTTTGTCTCAGTCAGAGTATGTCTCAGACAGAGACCGTTTGTCTCAGTCAGAGTATGTCTCAGACAGAAACTGTTTGTCTCAGACAGAGTCCGTTTGTCTCAGTCAGAGTCTGTCTCAGACAGAGACCGTTTGTCTTAGACAGAGTCTGTTTGTCTCAGTCAGAGTATGTCTCAGACAGAGACCGTTTGTCTGAGACAGAGTCCGTTTGTCTTAGACAGAGTCTGTTTGTCTCAGACAGAGTCCGTTGTCTTAGACAGGCGGGTGTGTCGGGTGACCTTGTATCATTCGGTATACTTGATCCTGACATTGCGTTTGCGGTTGATTAACATGCTCGTAACAGTTACGGTCAGATGGCCATATGAAGGTATTGTCCACTGATGATGGGTTTATTCATATATTGCGATCAGACTGAAGTGTTAGTGGAATCGGTAGTATTCCATCCACCAGATTACATACGGATACATGCACATCAATCCTTATCGCTAACTCTTTCAAATGTACGGCAATACCTTCCCCACTTAAAATGTTGATCGACAAAAATGTCAAAGGTGTGATGTTACCAACTTGTCAGGTTAGGCGTTAGAAGTGAAATGTATTTCAGAAGATTGATATCCTGATTTTAGTCGCCTTCTTCGATCATGCAATGAGGACAACAGATACGATTCTAACATCCATACACCAGGCCAGTTTTATAATAGTGTCTGTTATTGACACTTGAGCCTCTTGTACCAGAGTCCTTGACACAATCAAGATCTGTCGTTTCGCCCGAAATCATTCTCATCTTATCGAATAACAATATCTTTGTAGACAGCGTAATTACCAGCACGTGCAAATAAAGTAACTCAATGGGCTATTAACGCTTCTGGTTTTTAGATTAGATAAGCGATACATCGACAGAAACGGCAATGAAATATCCAAATATGGCTCGAAAACAACATTGTTTGTTTGTTTGTTTGCTTGTAATGAATAGTTCTTATTGGTAAAACAGTGTTATTATTGATATCCGAGCTTACTAATCTATACATATATATATTAGAATAACTAAATCTTCACAAGGCTTAATAAATTGCCTAGATACGATGTCTGTGACGTAATAACAAAGGTGGATAACAGGAATGAAAGCGCTAATGCTTAATTCGACGTGTTGCTTTACGTCATTCTATTATATTTCACCGGACACTGAGAATTAACTTTTATATTTGAATATATATAAAGAGAGAGAGAGGGGGAGAGGGAGGGAGAGAGAGGGGAGAGAGAGAGGGAGGGAGAGAGAGGGGAGAGAGAGAGAGAGAGAGAGAGAGAGAGAGAGAGAGAGAGAGAGAGAGAGAACAGGCGTTAAGGAAATAACAACTGCTGTTCTATCGCATACATACATGTATATCTAAAACGTCATAAGCCAACAAATTAAGCTCCTCAGCATATAGTACATTTATACCAATAAACCAAGTGTACGTCATTTTTGTCTCTCATGTGGACGTTAAATGGCTCGATTGTCATAATTCCGAAGAACATCAGGATTCCATAAGAAAACGCCTCCAATTTAAGTGTCCAGATGAGGATAAGTTGTACATTTAAGGGTATATTCTATGATATAATTGTGTATTGTCTACTCACGAATATCCTATTACAGTTCTGGTATATTATATGTTTTTTGACATTTTCTTTGATTTCGAATATATATACTAACATGATATATACATATAGTGAGCTGTTTGTGTAATAACAATGAAAGCATGCTTATAAGGGAGAGTTTATGTAGGGAATGTCCAGGATTCAATGTGAAATACACCGTAATATTTGATTAATGACAAAAACTAATATGTTTGGTAAAAATAACAAATTAATTGAATAAAAATCATGAAATAAAAACCATTATTAAGGTTGACACTACGATATGACAAGGATTTCACAAGTTATATATACCCAGATTCGTAATAGGATCAATATTAGTATTATAAAATGTGATTTGTTTTGTCATCAGATTTGGACATATGATCTTTCGCGTTTGTAATCTATACTTTAATGTTTATTTCACAATGCCCTATGAGCATTACAAACAAATCCAGTTTTCTAAACGAGTCCAAAATAGATGCATTGCGGTATGGATTAATTATAATTGCGTTGGTCTCGAGCCGATAATAAGCTTACAACTATGGATGTAAGTATAATAGGCCTGGATGGATGACCAGGTTACGTCAATTCATTGGGATGACGCTTTGAAGAACAGGAATCATGGAATGGACCATTTCGTCCAGGAAAACTTCATACGATATAATTTTAAAAGACGTTTGCACTGAGAAAATAATGTAACTTTGTGCACCTGTCTGTTTATATTAAATACTCGTACTGGCCCTTGTAAAAAAGAGAGATACTGAAAGGTGTTATTCTGTTTTGTACAGTACAATCGTTGAACAGAGATACATGTGGCTACTTGTCAGGAACAATTCATGTTTCCCTGCCAAGACGTCCAAACTGTGTGAGACGCTACGTCGCAGATGCACTCTTTTGAACTCGATGAGTAGACGGATGAGTAGTTTGTTTTGCTGATCTCGTTCTTGATCAAATGTCAACACGATGCCATAAAATGACTCAGATCATGTCCCTTTTTGCCTCTGGTTATTGATTAACGTACACTCTGTCCAGGTTTTCTCAATTGTTTCCAAGTTGTTTCCAATTTCGAGGAGATGTTGCAGTGTGAAAACACAGTATTCTACTTAAATGAGGTCTTAAAAGTATTTGAATTGACCTTGTTGGAACAGATTACAGCATTGATAAGCGTGGTCATGAGTTTTCATAGATAAATAATTTTCGTGAGTAATGACTGAAATAGTGCGAAATTAGATTCACGAAAAGAAATACCATGAGGAAGTACTTTGTCATGACATTACAACAATATGTTGAATCTAAACAGGTAAATACAGAAATTGAGAGATGTTCTTGAAAATAACTGTTCACACGATCCTACATGGTGGCGTCACTCCTTTGGGTGTCGTAGGCACGCCACCTAGCGTCAACCATTAGAGTGACCAAGATGGACAGTGGCTATCGGAAACTCTCAGTGAGCCGAGAAGAGAGTTTAGAGTGATAGTATAGATTATCTCATATTGACAGCACGTTATGATCGAACATATTCCATATATTGAAACGCCTCGGGCAGTCAAGTCGGAAGAAAGTGTGAACAGTTGAAGGGAGAATAATAGAATTTTACTTGAGCGTGTTCTGTGGATAGGAAAATCAGACGGAAAGAGTGGTACAGAAGGAGGCCTGCTGTGTTCTGTATTGTTTCCACGAATTAAATGTACAAATCATATTACGTACTTATATAACGGTAAGCGGAAACTGACATTTACATATGTAATATATTGTATCACTGATTAGATGATCTGTTTCACGAGTTAGATCAAAGGTGTCAGTACTGAAATACATAGGCACAGGTTAGCTGTTATTTCCTTAAAGAAATGTAGATGTTTATTTCACAGGTAATCTGTCTATAACATATATACACGCGGGAGGGAAACCATCTTTTCCCATTTCGTCGGCTTTGTAGTCACCAATGTACGCCCACTTAGAATCCGTAGACCAACAGACTGGCATATTTCACGACATCGACACATAATGTTTACTATTAATTATGAACGGTATGAAACTCGATCACCAATGATAGTGTGATTCCCTGTGTGTTGTATGTATGTAAACGGCTTTTCTGTATCATTTAGCACTTCCAACACCCACCTTTCTATATGGTAATACTGCTATTCCGACTCACCTGTCAACCCATTAATCGATTATTGGCTACAGATAGATCGTCTAATACATAACCTTATACCGTTGTCGACACAAGTAATGTCTCAGAAGAATGAGTGGCCGATTATATTTTGCTCAATCGGTATCTATAAGTATTGTGTTCACCAAAAGTCCTCAAATTATTTTTTTTCGTTTTTGTTTTGTAATGCTTTTTTCACAATACATGTATATCTATTTTTGTATCATTTTACTAAAACCGTTGATGACTTGTAAGTTACATAATCTATTAATTTCTTCATTGAAATAAAATTTGACCTACGGTCATTGAGAATTATAAATACTTAAATGATTAAATTTGATTATTTTTATGTTATTAAGCCATAATTCAAAACAGAGTTTACTAAACCGAATACTGGCTTACACATTCAAATTTGTGTCGTTATGTTGTTATGGTAAACCATCCTCTCTTGTCCCAATACTCTGTCCAAATGCGTCTAATATACTATAAGAATACTCCGTGTCGTTCCCTAATGTGTTCAGTATGGTAATTGGTTGGACTTCGAAAAGCCGATAATGTTTAAAGAATGTTCAAATTACCAGCCTGAGAGTTGCGCTGTGTTATCGCTTCCCGCACAGAACCATTTAAATGAATGCGCCCAGTCAAATGCAAATGGATGGTGCTGTAAACCGAGAGATTCGGAACCGCGGAGATTTTCTAGAAGTTATATACGACATCAAAATATTGTATAACTTAACCTTTCTGCTTGAGTTGGCCGATGGAATCCAATGTCTTCTGTTATTGGTCGACTGACAATAACGACGATGTCGTCATTATATATTAAAATAGCTTATTTGTCAAATTAAAGCTTGTTAAATTTCATATCTTTATTCAGTCGAGACCTAATTGCTCTCAGCACGCATTTAATCCAGATTTTATGTACACATCGAAAGTCAGTTATAACTTCTTTTTCTAAAACACATCGTGTTTTTTTTTTTTTTTTTTGTTCGAGTATCTGTTGTGTCAGCCGCGGACAAACAGTTCAGAATACAATTATGGTTAATGAAAACACGAGACGAAAGAGATAGAAAAACAATATTTTTTAATCAAAGGAGAACTGTCGACTCCAGAGCAGCCTTGAACGCTCAAATGTTTCACATGCAGCAGGTCCGTTGAGGTCTCCTTGGGCCTAGAAGAAGGAGGACGTGACGTAGAATAACAACACTCCAAACAAACCCCGATAAGATTTCCTCATTCAGTACACAAAGGTGATGTTCACTAGGTGTCTTCATATACAGACACAAACAGATAGTCAGACGCTTTGTCCTCCATGTCCTGTTGTCATTGGAGACGGTGACATCCGATAGAGCATTTTAAACCAATTGAAACTCGAATTTACGCAGGCTATTAGTAGCAAATGGATGTCGTTCGTTCGTAACCTCTTCAGTTGATTTCCTTATCTGTGACAACATCAATTTTTTTATAATGGTCTTAACACAAAAAAATTTAGAATGGTTGCTTCCTAAGTAAATGTCAACATAGAAATGTCGGTTTTAACATGTTAACATGACAAACAAATAAACAGTGCTTTCTGCATTAAATTCTTACTTGAGAAATCCTTTCAAGTGTTCTAGTTTGATCAACGCTGAGGTCTGATTACACTCGAGAATGTTTTTGATGGGAGCTTGATGAAGTCGTATGAAATATTCCATAGAATATTGCTAAACAATGATGTCAAGCATATTGCTTTTTATTCAGACGTTTTCTCGCACATTATGTTTTGATTTTTTTGTCTATATATTTGCTGACAGCGTCAATTATCAGATTTTTTTTATTGTTGACGAATATCTCTGGAGGATGTCTTTTCCCGTCAGTTGTTTGGATTCAGAAACACTATCTCTTTTTTAGCGGAATTCGGGTTTCGTATTACTATCGCTAACTCACCGTGTGATATAAGGGAGATTGAATGCTTGTTGCAAACTGAAGATTATGTAATGAAATTCGGTTTTAACTCGAGACGAAGTCGAATCATATTACTGACAAATTCGCTTGCAGTAGAGAAAAAAAGTGAATCGGAAAAGTCACATGTTATCATTATCGTAACTCCACATAGTGATGACACATTTTAGCACGTCGTTATAATGAATTTCTCCCGTGTCGATGTCGACCATCTGCCTCACCGGAAAGATGGCCGCCATCTTTGCACTAGCGTCAGAATTCATGAGTATATCGTGGATTAGATCATGAAACTTATCCAATTAAAAAATGCTTTACATGACCATTATTTTAGGACTAGTATTTGTGTATTTTAACTGTGATTGATCTTAGGATGATATTTACGTGTTGGTTGATGTACTCTCATATGGTCTAACTAAGTTGGCGAATTATCTTATGGTGTTTCTAGATCAAGGATGGAATATATATCCTTAATCATTCACAGACCATGAATTTTGTTTTGTTGGAAAGAGATGTAAAAAAAAAAAAAAAAAGCCCGCTGTATATACTGGTCAGGAAGAAATGTGTCTTAGCGCATTAAGCCCTCGATTTGGTAATGTAACACGTTCTAGTATAACTGACTTGTGTAGTACATGTGTTCATTGCTTCCGAAAACAATCAACATTCTCCACATTCCTTTCTTATTGAAGCAAAACCTGACTAGTAATGAGAAACTAATTGCTTTCGTCAATATTTAATTGGGGTTTTGACAGTTTTGTTGTTACAATTTTCCACGGTATCACAGGTTGATTGCTGCAATGTTGATTTAATTATCTGTTAATTGTTAAGGAGATGCACCATACATGCAAGAGTCCGCTTGAATTTATTTTCCCTAAAACGGCGTACAGACCTTTTCTTATTAGAGTTTCAACGTGACATTTGCGGCAGACTAAATTCATTTTAATAACATTTGCTGTTCTACGTTTGTATGGACGATGTGAATAACATCAATGTGCCCGAGGAACAAAGTTTGCTGCATATGTCGGCAACAAACACTTCCCGTACTCGTCCGGGTTACATCAAATCAAAGGAGAGAAGACATATTTACAGAAACACAGATACTGCGTTACCAGTTATTAGGACGAAACTATTCCCAACCAAATAAGTAGATCAAAGGTAACACAGCCGAAAACAGCAATATTAAAAAACCGACACATTCTCTGCACCGTTGTCTTAAAAGAGAGTTCTTTATCTACATAGTGTTGGTTAAATGTAAGGTGTTGCGCCAGTTTCTGTCAGTTTGAGGCCGTTTCTTGCTATACATATGTCCTGTGGGTCATTAAATATCCGTCGTGCAGGCGTATAGTATAATTTCTGATGCGTGAAATACTCAAAGATTAGCACATGTATTTATATATTTACTGAACAAGTCATGTTATTATATTTACAGTCATATGTACGGCACACAGACGCCATAATGAGTACGTCCTCAGAGGATGACGACACCGGAAGTTTCGATGCTGCTTGTCTCTATGACGACCTGACGTTATTGGAGGCCTGCCAGGAAGGCGATATAGAGAGCGTACAGAATATTCTCGAAGACACTCCCACTGACGAAGAAATCAACGAATCTGACAGGACTGGAAAGGTGAGCATGTCTTGTACATTAATAAAATGAAATTCGTCATAGATATCTAGCCATGTGTTGTGACCTTTAAATTTAGCAACGAAAACAGCGAAAAATGGCGGTGTTTAAAGACATACCTTAATTTATTAGATGGATGATTATGAGCAAATATTTCTCGTAACTTGCAACATATGGATTTACATGTAATCTTTTGGTATGATAAATCATGACGAAAAGGTTTCAGGTAAAGAATGAATCAATTTTTCAAGACCTAGTTCTAAGAAAACAAAAATAAGAGATCCATGGGCCTATACGGTCACATGATTGACCACAGCCGGAAGTTTTGTTAAACTCATCTTAGATTTTATTGATAATAATGACTGCCTACAAAATTTCCATTTTATTCCGCTCATATTTACTCCAATTATCTTGCTCACAAAGTCCAACGTTACAAAATGCAAATATTCATTGTTGAAACCATCCTATGTCTTAATGAAGTTAGGCTGCATACCAAGTTTCATCAAGATCTATTCAGATTTTATGAATTATCGTGTGCAAAAAGGTCAATAGTAATACAGAATGCAAAGAACCATAAACATGTAAGTTAGGCTGAATCTATCCTATTGCCGAGCTGTGATGCTATTGATAGAAAGTTTCATGCACACTTTTCGTATTTACTAAAGTTATTCTGTTCACAATGCCCATGGTGATTAAACTACGAAAAGTAAATAACTCTCTCAAATTTAATCATGTCGGTCCCATTTTAGAACTCATCACTTGAAATCTTATTTAAATAAGGTCAAAGAAAAAGATTCATCAAAGGTCACATATTTACTTAAGTTATGGTGTCCACATAGCCTTGATAATAAAACTGCAAAGGGCCATAACTCAGTGAATTACGGTATAATCGGTTTTATTGTCAAATTTATCCGAGATCGTATAAATATAAGGTTGTATAGCGTGGAAGTTATCGCGTTAACAAGAAAAAGGTTTAAAGGACATTCCTTTGTTTAACGGCAGGGATGTACTTCAATATGTTTTTTTTTCAAATTATTTGTCTAAGTGGGGATCATTCAAATATGTTTGTCTGACAGTTATCACCTAAGATTAAACTTGAATAGAAAATTCATTATTATGTACAAACACTGACTTTACTAGTCAGTATTTAAATACCAAGACGCCGGACGTCACAAATGGTGACCATGGTATATTCCTTGTGACCCAAAAGTATCGACATGTCAACAGAATTCAAGCTCAAATTCGATAAAAAAAATGCAAAAATCAAAATGTTACATGCAAACTGTAATCATAATTCAAACTCAAATTTAACAAAGCAAGGACAAAATATTGACCAACGGACGATTTATTTGGAGACACCTTAAAAAGTACAAGGACAATAAGACAAGGCATTCCGGAAGAATAAGCGTCTTCTGATTCATCGACGATATCTGCCAGGTAAATCTTTGTCAATCCAAGTAAGTATATTCGCGATCTCAAATGAGAACAAAGTATGAGGGCTGATTGATAAGTTATAAACCTCAAATTTGACTTTTTGCAGAAAAATTACAACATTTATCAACATCATTCCCTTCCGTATTTATACACTTTTGCCAATGTCAGCATGTCTCTATGTCACTTTTAATGAAGGCCTTTTCTTGACGGTTCCGAAAGTCTTCCACCGCATGTATAACGTTAGCATCTGACCGAAAGTGGGTGCCGGATATGGCCTTTTTCAAATTTGAAAATAGATGAAAGTCTGATGGAGCGAGGGCAGGCGATTAAGTTGGATGCTCAAAACAAAGCCAAAATCGTTAATTGCAGCCATGGTAATGAGAGACTTGTGAACAGGGGCATTATCCTGGTGGAACAACACACCTTTACTGAGGTTTCTACGGCGCCTGAGTTTAATGTTTTCTCTTAACTGCCTAAGAAGTGATGTCATTGATTGTTTGCCCCTTTTGCAGATAATCTACCATCTACCATCAAAATGCAATTAAATCCACATCCTAGAAAACAGAGGTCATAAACTTTCCAACTGATGGAACAGTATTTGCCTTCTCTGGCGGGGTTGGTTCACGGCGCTTCCGTTCATTACACTTTTGTTTGACCTCTGGTGAAATGATGGACCCGCGTTTCATCCATGGTCACAAAACATTTTCAGAAAGTTAGTAGGATCTGCCACAAAAAGGTTCAGGGTAGCACACAACAAAGTCCACTTGTGTACTTCTGATCAACTGTCAACAGTCTTGGTATCCAACGGTTCCTGTTAAATCCCAACTGTAAAGGCTGTATATTTCTCAGTAACTCACCTGTCAGCCATAACAATATCATGGAATATATTAACCATTTCTAGAGTTGCAACAGTAACTGGCCTTCCATGACGGGCGTCATCCCCAAGGCTCTGCTTAGCACGTTTAAATTCCGACAACCACCATTCCACTGTCGCATATGAAGGGACATCAAGAACGGAACCAACATGCAAACTAACGAGCATCACATATGTCTAATTCAAATCTTTCTTTCAATTCAAAATGACTAATATCGCGTTCATGAATGGGAACAAATAAACAACAACAGAACCGCCAGGCATACAAGAAGAAAAAGTTCCGCTTAACAAAAAAAAATTAAAAAGACAAACACATATTTCATTTCTGAATTTAAATTTAAAAATCGATGAGAAATATGACATCTTCTTGAATAGAAAAATAATTGAAAACCTGTTACGTCACAAAGTAGTCACACCAAATAGCATTGACTTACTGCTATAACATTCGCATGTTACATGTTTCTCCTTTACTCGGTACATTCATCCAGCTAAGTAACAGCCTAGAGAATGAAACCGAATAACGCTAAAGGCGATCTTCATTAATTTGATTGTGATGCCGCATCCCATTTAAAATAATCTATACAGTATATGATGTGTGCTTAAGACGCTGACTTGAAGTGAAATTATCAACGATAATCAAATTCCAAAACTGTCGATCGCCAATCTAATTCTTAATGTATCTCGTGGTTCAAGTAGGACGACACACATGGATGTTAATGAGTACGGTGTAGACCAAAGCAAAATAAGGACCAAGAGACATTAGTTGTAATGATAGAGATTAACATACACTTTACCTGCAACAAGCAGCAATATACTTTAAGATCATATACATGTATCTTCGTGGGGCTATAAAAAAATGTTGGTTTAATATTTTTTTCGGGGTTGGAGGAGGGGGGGGGGGGGCGGTTTGTTTGTTTTTGCTTGATTTTTGTTTGTTTCTTGTTTTTTAATATTCCTTTTCGTTGATACTCAATTTCAGCGTTACTTTTGCTCATGATACCGTAAGTGCTGTAATCCATTTTCGCTTTTATCTGTATATTATCATTACGCCAACATATGAAGTCATGGATTTCAATAACCACGTGAAAGGTTAATTAAACCGTAATCCAAACTAGACGAGTAAGACCAGCTGCTTCTGTGTGATCGACGACAGTCATTTGTAAACACGCGGTCTTAAGCGAGACCAGGACAGCAAAATCTAGTCCCATGGTTTTTAGGTCTAAATTGTGAGCTCATGATAAATATTGAAATTGTCATAAGCCTGCGGGATATATAATGATTAATCTAGCGAATACTCTTTATTTGAGATTTGAAATATCTTGTAAGTGTTTACCCTGTAACATAGGTTTATGTTTAATTCATCGTTTGGAGTCTTTTTACACATCTTACAGTTAGAAAATGAAAAGGGTATTATTTTCATGAGACAGAATGCATTTTACTTAATGTACCAGCATTTTATATAAGATATCTGATTTGTCCTTTGGCAGTTCGGAAACAGCAAAAACCAATTACCTGCTGTGCCCGTTGTATGTCTTAAGAGGAAAAACAATCTTCCTCACCCTATTACTTTGTATTAGAATCGCATCGTCTGATCGTCAAGTCTACCTAATACTATACCCCTGGGGTGTTGGGCGTTGTCCGCTGTGTTACTCTTCTAGTAATCTCACATGGATTATAACCTGCTTCTCTTGATTTTTTTTCTTCCCATTCGTTTTATAATTTCCATTGTATTGAACAACCAATTAGATCTAGCGAGGCCCCTATTGTTTTGGTAGCAGGAAACAGTTAATTTGCATTTTCCCTGAAATTATTGGTCATTTTTTTTTAGATATACAGGTACAGCAGATTGGTTATGTAAAATACATCCTTACATGTATATATATTTATAAACTACATAACAATTACATTAACAGTAGAGAGATGAAATTTGTGTAAATCAAAAATTTCATCAGCTTTCTGACATGTGATTGCCATGGTTACCAACTGAAAGAATGCAAAAACTGCAAAAATACTGCTAATTCCAACCCAACACTACAACTTTCTAGAGGAAATTTAATTCTAAACACCTATCTTTAAATCAACAACACTGTCGTGGTAACAAAGTGTTTACATTTCAGCAAATTCCAACTCGGAAATCCTTCATAACATGACCACATGTAAACACTATGAAATTTTCACTTCCTGTAAAGCTAGTTTCTGGAGCGTAGACACAGATTCGAGACTGCCCAAATAGTAATATCCAACACAAAGCTAAAATATTATTCTGAAAAAAATGCTCCTCATTGTCCACTTTAACATGGCAAGACCAATTTTAGCAAGGATTTATTTTTTCAATTTTAATTAAAACCTTTATGATGGGGTAATCTAATGAACAAAAAAATCACCGATGGCCACACCGAGAAACTGTGTACTGCTACCTTTACATCATAACTTTATCCATCCATCCCATCCATCCAGTGGATCAGTTTTTAGATATTAACGTGTTAAAGTTTGCCACTGATTTATGACACGAAACATACTGTATGCACATATATTTTCGTATGACTTAAATTTCGATGTTGTCCAAAAATACGTATTTTCGTTGGGACCTGATTCTATTTATAAATCCGGCAGACCATGTGCGGTAATACTATAATCTATGTCAACATATATCTGTTTACCAGTTCGTGGACATATATTTTCCTGGATTTAGAGT